ATGATTAAACACTTGTAGAGCCAGCTATGTGTAAATACAACAAATAAACTTGTATTTCAGTGGGCATGGCATGTATTCTTGCTATATGAGGCAATTGGGTTAAGCATTGTGTATCAATTAAAAATAGCAGTGGCAAACCCCAAAGTCATGCCCTTTCTAAGTGTGTCAATTGAAAATTCACTTATCTCAGGTCAGTCTTCAGTAGTGGCAATTGTTCATCCTGACCCATGAGTGCATGTTTCAAACTCTTAACCCAAATGGCATGACTGAGATTAAACTTGAAGTGGATGCTTAGGGTGGATGCCACATCTTCCACCCTATTTCATGTTGCCCCACTCAAGAGTAGGTGACAAGTCACAGAACCTAGCATCTACATTTAGGGTTAGGAGGAGCTGGGCCCCACACATGTTAGGGTTGCTGACCACTGGGACCTGGAAATAGGAGAGTGATTGAAACATAAACTTGATGAGGCAGTTGGGCTTTAAAAACTGTAAGACGTATCCTTTTATGATGATTTGATAAAATTCTTCCCCTCCCTTCTACGAAAAATCTAAAAATTTTATTGTTTGTACCAGCTCAATTTGCATTACAGAAAGGCAGTGGGAAAATGTACACTTTTGTTATTAATTGTTATTTGTTTATACTTTTTATAGCAATTTTTTTTCTTTCAAGAGGGATTTTATCAAATTTATGTCTCCCCCACCAAAATCTATACAATACACTTAATCTGTGTCATGTAAATGGTGCTTTGTAGAAATGTACATACACTTAAATAAAATGCTTTGTTGAATTTCTTTTTCTTTTCCCACAAATGAATCCAAAATGTTGCTAAATTACAATTTTGGATTCCCCCATGGAAAGAGATTAAAAAAATAAATGTGTACTCTTCATACACAATATAACAAAACTAGACTTAATTGAGTCAACTCTAAGGTGTAATTATTTTCATCACAGTCTTGTTATATTTATCCTTGTTAAAAAATAAATGAGGATAGATTTTCCCCTATCTTTAATAGGTTAAAACCCTTCTCCCAAGAAAACTTCAGGTTGGTGGCTGTTATAGTTGATCTTGTGGGAAAAAAATAAAAGAATATGAAAAATACATATATCACAGAATGAGGAAGGAAAAAATTGAATAAATTTTAACTCACTTTTTATTAATCCCAAAGGCTTGCTGCACCATGTATGTAGTTCTGTTCACCATGATTGAGCATAATATGTTATATTCTGACACATTGATTTTGGCTGTGACTGATGTTTGCTCACTAATCTGGTACTGTTTAGCAAGTTTCCATTGGCCCATACCATTATACCATTCCCTTGGAGGTCCTCCTCTCCCAGAGCACTTTATAGTGTTTCCTGCCTCTTCGTTGTGAATGGAAGGTAGTGAGTGGGAATAGTAATTCTAGTATAGTATGGCATAATTTATACTGCCAGTTCCCCATCCTCATTCCATCTTTACATACTATACTGTTACATATTTTAGCTTAGCTATTGGTATTTCTAACATTTATATATATATATATATATATATATATATATATATATATATATATATATATATATATATATATATATATATATATTTTATATATACATTTTTTATTAAAAGAATAATTTGTTTTTATTAGGTTATATGTATTTGGGTAATTTATTTCATTTTAACTTTTACACATAGTTCAACTGTTATTCCTTTTTTTCACCTTGATCCTACACTGTGTAGAAAATATTTAATATATGACTGGTTTGTAAAATCAAGCTCTTAAAGTATCAAAGACCAAAATTTACCGCAAGAAAACTTGAAAAATCAGTCATTATATTCAGTAAAGGGGACAGACAAGCTGGAAGGATTAACAATTTGCAAATACCCAACTCCAAGTTATATTCCTGTTATTGGATTGAAAAAGGGAGCTAAGAGAAAGAGAATCAGTAGAACCCCCCCCCCCCCCCCACACACACACACACAAAAAAAAATCTGGAAAGTACTTTTAACTGAAACATGAGAACAAGATACATCACCCAACTCAGTTTTGTCATACATTAACCAATTAACAGTGGGTAAAATTTTCAGTAAAATTTGATGATGCTGGGGGTACATTAGCACATACTGCTACACACCTAGCCAGTTGTCAGTTGGGCATCATGCCAGCGACTAGGAAGTGAATTTGTAATGTTATTAGGTGTCACCTGGTGTCTGGGATATTGCCAGGATGTAACAGGATGTCACTTGTGAATGGGCTAACAAACTCTTATAATGCAAAATGGTTTCTCTTAAAAATATCTCTTTGCTTCTGTGCTACAACTACTCATAAAGCATACAATGAATATAGGTACTAAATAGCACCCCACAGGACAAAGTCAAGAGTTCTGTGTGTGTATTTTTGTTTGTGTTTATGTGTAAGTGTGTAAAATATAGATATGGTATGCAATTGAACCCTTGTGTGCCAGTTGGTTACTGTGGTACAACCAGGAGACAGCCATCAAGCTGAGCAGTGTGGCTGCACAGAACAAGAAAGGAAAGCATAGTAATTGTTAAGCCAAATAGTGTCAATATTAAATGCACATTGTTCAGCTGATGGTAGTCCAAAATTAGTCTCCTAGCCAGGGTGTTCTGTGCACAAGCTTCCACCCTAGCCTGTGTGCTGACAAGTTGTGACTGGCTTGTGATTGTTGTTTCCCTTCTTTTGAAGGAGGCCATTTTCATGAGCCAACAACAAGATAACTTTGCACCTTGGTTTACAGGTGTCTGATTTACAAGATAAACATAAACTCTGCTAAGTTTAAAACTCTATTCCAGCTTGCTGTTACTGTCCCCCAGTTTGAATTCCTGGAAACCTCACTACTTGACATGACAGTGTCCGATTTCTAGGTTACCCATTACTGAAAAGTAACACCACATATACACTAACCCAATTACTCATCTTCCCTGAACCTCAATCAATATGAAAAAAAGGTTTGGAGAATAAAAACAGTAAGCAAAAGCAAGAGAAATCATTGAACATTAAACTAGACATCCAGTGATAACTCTGCTATGTAAAAGATGGCAGAAGAGATAAAAATCTTTTGTAATGAAGGTGCAAACCTACTCGGGGAAATTTTTATCTGCACCCAGTTGCATCTTGCCTGTTTACGAATAGGTCACACCTGCCTCACACATTCATACCTCATGCCATGATCCAACTCACCTCTATGGTTCTCATGCAATGTTCCTCTTTCAGTTCCACATAGCTTAATATTCTGCCCCCACTTTGCTGCAGCCTGTACTCTTCATTTTCTTTACTTGTTCTCTCTTTCCTGACCTGCCAACCAGTTGGACATCCTCACAGAATCCCCCACCTTTTCAATTGACAACTTGTTATCCTTCCTCAGACCCAAAAGTACTTTCCATGTGATCTAATCACCTTCTATCTATCCCTATCCTACCCCATTTACTCCCCCTCCTTTTTCCCCTTTCACTACCATAATATCCTATTATGCTGTATGATGATTGAACTCTAACCCATTTTGTTCTAATAAAGAACTCATTTAAACCCCATTCACCACAATACTTTATCATAGCACTATATGACCCTTATTTGTTTAAGATATTAACCAACCATTCACCCATAATTGTTGATTCAGGCTGTATTGAGTTGGTCAGTTTACTTTTCTTTATGGTAACATGTATGATGCTGTTTTGCCAGACAGTTATTACACTGAAGCAAATTTTATTTTTAAGCATGCATTTGCATCAGATCTTAAGGATAGAAAATATACATATATATAAGATGTTGAAGAATCTGACACCAAACCCGAGACTAAATGAAGTTGTAGGTGAAGTAATTTTCCATTTCAGATGTGGAAGAGCATGCTGAAGAGTAGTGATAATCATAATATATTTTAACCCCAAACTTATCTGCTTAGCTGTAATTTGTAAGTTAAAAAGTGAGTGTTGTTAGATAGATCATGAACATCTAGAATCAGGATGGTATATATATACCATATTCCTAAAATTAATTAATATGTTATTATTTCTTTATAGTGCCTACCACGGGAACCTAGGAAACTTGATTGATATTAGTCCGAAGATGTTCAAACAAATGCCACTGGGAAAGAAAGAATTTGTTCATGTCATTCCATGTCCAGACACATATCGTGGCCTTTACCGAGAGGATGATCTAAGAGCAGGTAAGGAAACAAGGGATTATGCTGTTTATTTTATTTTTTCCTCACTGTGCCACTTTTTTATAGACTAGTTTTACTGAGGGAGAAATGAAAAGAATAGCATTTTTCTTGTATTCTGTAAAGTTTATTTTAACTCAAAAGTGTTTCCCATCTTATTGTGTCACTCTTTCCTGTAACCCTAGATTATTATAGTGTGGTAGTGTGACACTAAAACTGTTGCAGGGTAATGTATTCCCCAATGCTGAATATCAGTAAAACAAAAATGTTGCAATGCAGACAGACAGACTTGCTTCTTTTTTTATACAAAATATAATGGAACTACTGTTTCTTCTCTCTTTCCATGTGAAGTATGAAATTCATTAAAAAGAAAAACTGTTAATTTTTATGGGTAACTTTTTAAAAACTTGAAAACTAGAAAAACAATTTTTTTCTTATAAAATTATATATAAAAAATATATCACGGATGCTGAAAACTTTTGCCATGTTGTTCAAACACGCAAATGTCTTGGAGCTTCATAATTGAAGGCACAACCAATGCATACCATTACAATCTGATAAGGAAAGGATCAAAAGAGGGACATTGTTTTGTCCCAAATTGCTACTTCATTTTGATATCTGTATGTTTTTTTTGTATTGTAATGACCCAAAATATGTTCAAAGAGTACATTGAGTTTGAAATATAAAATGCCTTGCCTTCCTTCTGCATTGGATATATGTTATGGGGGTACACAGGCATCTATAGTTGTTGCATCTGTGTATCACTATGGATGCAGTGCTGGGAGTTTGATTCTTCTGTGCAGTCCTGTGTGAGGAGAAGTCACAAACATGACTGATGGTATGCTGAAGGGTTGTGGTGGCTGAGAAGCTGTTGTGCCCAGGGCCAGATGATACTATGTTACCATTTTCATGTATATGCAGTGCATAAATCTACTAGCTTGCTTCTGCTCCAGATTCTTAGAATATATGACCCAGGAGGGAGAGAGAGAGAAAAAAAACACAGGGTAAAATATACCCCACGATATTACTCTATGGATAATTTTCCACATGTTACTGTCTTTTGTGTTGTAAAGTTTTCCTCTTTATTGTGCCAGTTTCAAACTTCATTTCCATACATTTTACGGTTGTTGTTTTCTGTGATATTTGACAATCTGGATGATGTAACCATCACATCATGAAAAACTTTGGTTTTTGGAGTGGGTGATATGAACATGCCGTCATGGAAAAAATTGGTTATGGGCTGGGATGGGCAGACTTGCTATCATGATCATTTCAGCTGAAGGCTTGGGTGACTTGCCGCAAGTGAACAAAACTATGAGGGTGATTAAACTCATTTGGCAAATAGGAAGTGGATTTTGCATTACTCTCATTGATAAACAAGTGTGGAATGTGTCATCTGTGAACCATAACTCAAAGAATGCAGGCTCCAGGGAGGACACAATTTGCATGTTGTTCCTGACCACCGTGACCAACAGCACAGAAAGATCCATGCAAGGCATACTCTCCCTGGTGTAAACAGTACTCTGCAACTCCCTGCCAGTGAGATAAAATATGGAAGAAATGATTTGATGAGATTTAATTGGCAAACTACATAATGAACCAAAAAGCACTATCAGCTGCTGTAGTATTCAAACTATGATGGCCTTTATATATATGTATATTACAATAACCACACATGGGATGTAGTTAGAAAGGCAGATTCCTATAGTGTGCAAATCCCTATAGGTACTGTTGAAACTTTATGATCAGTGTTTTGGGAAGGAAAAACATTGACTTATCCTAAGAATGTTGGGAAAATCTTTGGTACAGTTGGACAAGAATGGTTGTTTTGCAGTGCACCCAGGTCCATGTCTGGTCAGTAGTTCTGTTGTGTTAAGGTGGTTCAGCTGGCTATTTGGGCCAAATAGTTGCACTGTGGTGTGAAATCTGGGGGCTGAGGGGATCCTGCAATAACCAGACTTAGAGCATTCTTTCCCAGAGAAATTCATTGGTTACTCCATGGTGCAGACAAAAATCATTGTTTGTAATTTCTTTAGAAATTGTCTTTATGCATTTATAAAGTTAATGAAAGTTTTGTGTTGAAGCCTGTCTGACTATGTGTGTGTGTGAATATTAATGTATATACAAATACATATGCACATATGTATTTACATCTACATACATTATATCTATATATGTGTGTCTGTACATTTATATGTATATGTATATATGTACAAACACACACACACACAGTGCATCGAACCAGTGACGCACAGCTCTTACATGTTAAATACAGAGAAGATCAGGCAATGGATGGTCTAAGTCTGCTGCTAAGCATTTTCGTGCATAGAGACGTGAGTACAGCTCCACTTTTGTGTTTGTTTTGTGGGTAACCATTCAAACCAGGAAAATGAAGCTAATTGAAGCAGCAGCTAGAATTGTGGCTCTTGAATCCAAGATAGACAACCTGGTAGCAGAATGTTTGAAAATATGTGAAGAAAATGTAAATTTGAAGAAATTGATGGATAATTTGCGCATGAACGTAACCATTCAGACAGAGAATACTGAAAAGCCTGACATGAAAATCAAAGAACCCAAGGAAAAGGTGAAAGAAATAGAAGCCAAGATTGGCAACAGAGTCAAATCAAGGCAAAGAATCTGCAAAAAAAAAAGTTGATAAAGTAATTAAAGCAAATGAAACTGTTAAGCAGATTAAAGGTGATATTCAAGCAGCCAGTCTCAAATAATGGAAGAGGCAAAAGAGATAACAGCTACATATGCTGATGCATCTAAAGTAAAGGAAACTGTAAATGAAACGGAAAAAAAAGTTTGAAAAAGACATCAAGATCACAAAGGAAGAAATAAAAATAGCTTGCAGAGACAGTAAAGAAAAATGAATTTAAGTCACACCTTAACCCATTGCCGCCGGGGATGGCATTTACGCACATGCCATGCCCACTGTGAGACGACTTGTTTGATTGTTCTTACACATAGATGGCTACACTTGTACTAAGTATCCAATGAGCCAATTACGAGTACTGCCTGTCTCGCCCGTTCACCCTTTTCATCGATTTACGAAAATATTTAACGTTATCCTAACTAAATCACCAATGAGCCAGTTACGAGTACCACCTATCTCGCCCGTTCACCCTTTTCTTTGATTTATGAAATATTTTACATTATCTTATTTTGCTGTTACTAATGTTAAAAAACATTTTTAAAATTATAATGTTTATAATTAAATAACACCATCAATATTCATGGCACTAGTGAAAAATACGTTTTTCCCGCCATTTCAAATCAGGCGCTAACAGAGCCATCTATGGACAAACATTTAACAAAAAAAAGTATAGAAAATAGGCACAGCATTTTCCCCATTTTTGTTCATTTTCCCCGGCGGCAATGGGTTAAGTGAAAAGGGAAAGAAACGCCCTTTAACCCATTGCCGCCGGGGAAAATAAATTTAAAATTGGAAAAATGTTGTGCTCATTTTTTATATTTTTTGTGAAATGTCTCTACACATACATGGCTCTGCCTTACCTGATTTCACCTTTCCTTGAATTGGCGGAAAAATGTATTTTTTACTAGTGCTATGAATATTGATGGTGTTATTTTTATTATAAACATTATAATTACTATAACATTATAAACATTAGTAATAGCAAAATAAGATAACATAAAATATTTTTGTAATTGGCTCATTAGTGATTTAGTATAAGTGTAACTATCTATGCGTAAAAACAATTAAACAAGTAAACTCTCTGTGGGCATGGAATAGACACATGACATGCCTGTCATGAATGGGTTGAAGTTACATTCATGAATGTAATAAAGACAGCTAAAGTCCTGGCAAAGAATATAAGAAAATCTAGATAAGAGAAAATATGACTAAAGATGACTGAGAAATACTGCAGAAAAAATGGAAGAGGTAAAAAACAAAAACAAACAATGGACCGAAGAAGAAAAAAGACTTGTTCAATTAGAGGGTGAGAGAGAGGCCTCCAAGCAAAACAAATTTACTATCGGGAGCAAAATGTGGAGACAATCACTTGCCTTGCAACCAAAAGGAATACTGAAAAATTATGTAGAAAAGTTTTATACAAATATAGATGGTTTATGTTCAAAGTTACTAGAACTAGATGCAGTTATTGAAAGTAATAAACCAGATGTAATATCTATCACTGAATCCAAACTGGATCCCTCTATAGACAATGGAACATTAGGACTCAGAGACTACAATTGGAAATGAAGGGGGGTAGCAATATTAACCCAAAGTCAGCGGGCTTATTTACTGTCCCCTTTAGATTCTAGGGAGTTTTGTTACATACAGATAGCTCCAGGTGTGCTCAGCAGCAAAGAGTTGTATTAGTTGGCCCTGGTGACCGTTCCTGATTTCCCAATTCCTTGAAGTGGCAGGAAAATATGTTTTTCTTTCCAATACTACTAATGTTAACATTGTTGTCATTCTTATTGATATTATGATTATTAAATTGTTATTAAAATATTAACATTAAAGACAATAAAGTAATATGATCCTGGTCCCCTTCCTGCACTGGTGGTTCCTCCAGCAGAGTTTACATTGCCGCCACCTCCAGTAAATCATACCAACAGGCGTGTGCGCCTGCTGGGGATCTTCCTCAGGTTCATTCTGAGGAGGGTTCTGCCGAAAGGAGCCAGGGCGACATAGGAACACAGACACAGCTGACAAAACAGATATGCAATGAATAACATACAGATTTACATCATGGACACACACACACACAATTCCAAATGAAGTCTCAAAAACACTCACCGACAAACACAAACACGACAAAAACACATGCACACCTATATATGCACACACATAATTACACAAACATAATTACCCATATACACAATTATGTACATACAAAATATTTCAAAAACAGTCATTTATTCAGCCGCATAGCTATCACATGTACACCCGTCCCCAGAAGGACAGGCCAGAAATGGACCACGACAGTTTTCATACCTGTCAGTATGGGTCCGCACTTGGTATGTGTATAGGTGTGACCCATCAACATGGGTTGAGAAGTCTCATAAAAGACTATTATGGAAATTCAAACACCTAGGTGGAGTGAAAGGCAAACCCCTCGAATGGATGGAAAACTTTGTTCATGAATGACAGATGAGAACCATAATTAGAGGGAAGCACTGTACATGGCAATGAGTAACTAGTCGAGTACCTTAAGGATTGGTCTTGGTGCCAATTGTGTTCACTATTTTCATAAATGATTTAGGATCAAACATAAGCCCAGGTAGTTATCTGAATATGTTTGCAGACAAAGCAAAATTGAAAAATAGGATAATAGATGATGTCAGTGCCTCCAAAATGACATCGAGAACTTGTTAACCCTTTGCCGATGGGCATGGCATGTACATACATGCCATGCCCATTGTGAGTTTACTTGTTTAATTGTTTATAGACATAGATGGCTACACTTGTACTAAATCGCCAATGAGCCAGTTAAGAGTACCACCAGTCTCGCCTGTTCATCCTTTTCATCGATTTACGAAAATATTTAACATTATCTTATTTTCCTGTTACAAATGTTTATAATGTTATAGTAATTATAATGTTTATGATAAAAATAACACCATCTACACTTATAGCACCAGTAAAAATACATTTTTTGCGCCAATTCAAGGAAAGGTGAAATCCTTTATGGCTAAGCACTAGCAGAGCCATCTAGTAATAGGGACATTTCACAAAAATATAAAAAATGAGCACAGAATTTTCCCGATCGGGAAAGGGATAATTTGGAGTTGTACATGGAAAATGGAATTTAACACCAATAAATGCCATGTAGTCAGATTCAGAGAAAGTAAAAATCGTCCAATATACCAGTAGAAGTTAGGAGACTTAAAAAACTTGTTCAAGCTAAAATTTTGCTATTTCCAGGTCGTTATGATAAATTTACAGGTGTATGAGCACCATATATCTTGCCATGGAAACAATTCCTTTGTCATGTTAAATTTGATGCAGACTCCAAAACTACATCATATCCTGGAACAAAAAGAAATAGTTCTATCATATGAGCACCTCTTGCTAGTGTATATTTGTAATGCAATTACTTACAATTGCTAGTTATATTATACACATGTATACCACACCAACCTTGATATATATATTCTGAACATTATTGAGAACATGTTCTTCTGAAATTACTTTCTAATGTTTTTTTTTCTTTCTTTCTTTCTCTCTTTTCCTTTCTTTTCTTTTCTTTTCTTTCTTTTTTTTTTTTTTTTTTTTACAGCTGAGAAGTATGTGAAGGAAGCAGAACATATCATTCGCCAAGCCATTAGAAGTAACAGAAAAATAGCATGTTTTGTCTCAGAATCGATAGTGGTCAATTGTGGCGTCATTGTTCCTCCAAGAAATTACTTCAGACTCTTGTATAAGTAGGTGGTTACAAAATATTCTAAAGTTTAAGCAAACTGATTGATGTGTACAGTTCAGGCAGAAATGGAAATCTAGGGTGTATGTGTATTTTTATTAGAATTATGGAGACTAAATATGTTTTAACTGAGTATTGAGTGATCGCTTGTATTGCTTTCTGATAGGAGAAACCAAAGCAAATATCAGTAAATGGGTATGGATGAATGAAGATTAAAATACCAGCCAAGAAAGCTTGATATAGAGCTTGAAAATAAAGAGTTGAGTAGTATATATTGAGATTATGCTCTTGTTGAAATTCTTTTGCCACATGTATCAAATTAAATCCTTTTACATCCTGGATTAAAGTTTTTTCTACCTTTAGATTTTATCCTGCTATAAAGTAATTAAGGTTTATATACTTTCCATTTAATTGTTTCTGGTTTTTATTTGCTTTCAGCTTGATCCATGAAATTGGAGGTGTTTGCATTGCAGATGAAGTACAGACAGGACTAGGAAGAACAGGAGAATACTTCTGGGCATTCGAGGTATTGTACTAACTTTTTGCTATCTAGTGAATGGGAGTATGGATTACTAAATTGGTTAAAGATATTATTTTTGTTTGTGATTGTATGTATACAAGCCTTCAAACTGTTTTTCTCTCATTTCTGTACCTTTCTTCCTGTTTTCTTAATCCATTGCCACCAGGGATGACATATACATACATGCCATGCCCACTGTGAGTTAATTTTATTTATAGTGTTTATACATAAATAGCTCCAAGTAGTCGGTCACTAGTCTCACCTATCTCACCTGTTTACCATTTTTTCTTGATATTTAGAAAAAAAAAATGTTGCCATAATCATTGTTATTATCATATTTCAATAATAATGATAGCATTAATATCACCTCAATGCTGCTGGGAATGACATGGACATGCCATGTGAATTAAGTTTATTAATTGTCGTTATACATAGATAGCTCCACAAGTACTTAAATGCAAAGGAGTCAATTACTAATACTACCTGCATCACCTCTTTGCTACAAAAAAACTTGCTCAAAAAATATTTTCATTGGCCTTATATTACTATTGGTTGCCATGATAAATATAACAGCATTAATTTTTATAGTATTATTAAAGAAAAACATTTTTCCTGTAAATCAGGTGAGGTTACAAAGACTACAAAGACTACTACTCCATGGTGATTTAGCACTTGTGGAGACATTTCTTTGTATATAGATATTTCACAAAAGAAAACTAAAATGAAAATAAAAATTTTCCAGCGGCATAATATTACATATGTGGAATACAAGGATACGAGGAAATGCAAGGAAAGGGGAAATCAGGGGAGGCCTACTAATTAACTCCTTGGTAGAGCTGTTATGAGAATCAACTTGTGCTAACTGGATGCACTGTTTAGTTAACCCCTAGAACCAGATGTCAGGACCATTACATCATGAAAAAAAATTGGCCTGAGGGATGGATGATGCGAGCATGCTGTCATGGGAAAATTTGGCTATGGGCCAGAGTGACACAAACTTGCACTCATGAGCAGTTTAGCTGAAGGAAGGGTGACGGGAATGACTCACCAGGAGTGCACAAAGCTCTTGGAGGGTGATTTGACTCATATTGCAGAGGGGAGGCATAGAGTCTTGTCACCTCACACATGCCATTCTCACTGTGTAGTTGCAGGCATAAAGATCTATGACATATCTCAATTGCTTGCCATTTTGTCAGTCATGACAAGTGACTAGTACATAATTTCTTATTTTACATACATTTCTTCTCTGTGTGACAGCTATTGCTTCAAGTAAATTCTTGCAGATTGCCTTTGTCATTTCCCTTGTCTACTCTCTTATATATCAAAGACGGTTGGTAGTTCAAGCCAGGTCCTTGCGGATCACTACTGACATCTCCTTCTCCTATTTTTTTTCTTTTATCTTTGTGAAAGTAAAACATAAAACG